AGCAAACATATACTTTTGGATTTTATTTACAATACTCCACATAATTACTTGTTTTATATTAACCGCCCAACTTTATTATTTAGGAAATTGGAAGTTCGGTAAGCAACAGATTTACCCAGTAATTTCTTTAACGAATGAGAGCGTCGATTATTTAGTGTATTGTTTTTAGATAAGGGTATGGTCAGAAGGAGGTTTCAAATTATTGCCAATGATTTCAGATCGGGTCCTTTAAATATATTGAAGCCTCTACATCGAGGTATGAATGAATTATTGTCTTTCGTTTTATCTGCTTTTTATAAAGTGGTTGATTTTTTTAAATATACATAGGCAGAATGGTACTTTTGATACTAGGAAATATTGTAAATTGGCTTCTGGCCGGTTATGGATTGTATAAACACGAAAAAGATTTCGCCTTGTACCTTTTGGCCATTCTACTATGCAATACCATGCTCTATTTCCTATTCTACTTAGTAATGAAGGTAGAAAACATAAAAGCGCTATATGCGAAATATGCCATGTTAAGATATTAAATCGTTTTCCAGGTACTTCATAAAGAAAAAATTAACGTGCAAACAATTCTATTTCTGACATTGATGCTAACATGTGCCGTGTCAGCTATGTATTTCTTTATACACAAGTCTATCTCATGGGAGGTAAGTTGGTTCCGTTTACTTTTCCTCGATATCATGTACAATAAATATAATTAATAGGTAGGCGCCGTTTATGCAATAATTAAAAAGAAATAAATATGGAAAAAAGCATATTCTTTTTACCATGTTTATGTTTTACCGAATTAATACTTTTGTCAATGCAGAGATGTATTATGTGTTGCCTGCAGTGCTAGCCGCAATAAAAACAGTATTTCGGGCATTTCTTCCGCAGATGCGAGGTCCGTACTTAGGCAGACGATCAATATTGTTTCCTACGGAAACCAAATTTAATTTTTTTTTCACGACCAGTAGTAGTAGAATAGTTTGTATTTGTAATTTCTCTTTTTTATTGTTTTTATGTTTGTTTCAGCTGACACCAGCTCGATCGAGAAGGTATAACCAGGAGTGTAAAGTATTTCAATTTTACGATTACCATGACGTGTGGCATTTTTTGAGTGCTACTGGTATGTTTTTCACATTTATGGTGCTTCTTACTTTAGACGACGATTTGTCGCACACTCACCGATCCAAAATTTCGGTTTTTTAAAAATAATTCTAACATAAATTGTTCACAAAGAAAGTGTATTTTATTGTGCAAATAGCGCTCACATGTTGTTTTTGTTTTTCTTCTATTATTGTTTTTAGAATTCAAAATTGCAGGACAGTTTATGGAAAAATAATCTATTTTTTTACAATTCAGTTAATCATTTTTTTTTGTTTTTGTTATTATTTATGTTATTATGTATTAGCAGAGTATGACATTAATGTAATTTTTTAAAGTTGTGATAATAATCAGTGTTGTTGACTTGATAGATTGTAAAAGTATGTTTATATTTTCCGTTTTTCTATATAAATAGCAAATAAACCATTTCAGTTCTTTAACCCGCATTATCTAAATTAACTAGATACATGTCCCGTTCAAGATAGAAAAGCTATAAATATTCATTTCTGGTGTAATTAGAACTAACACCCTGTACATTAAAAAAATGTATATGATTATCCTGCAACGCGTACATTGAGCCACTGCCTGCTGTCAAATATCGAGCATAGCAAATGTTTTGACATTTGCCTTGTCTGTCATTTGTTAAGTAAAAGAAAAAGAAATAAATTACAGAAAACTGGCGGTATAGAATTACAGCATATTAAAAATGGTAAGACCGATTAAAATGTGTATTAAAAAAAATAATGGTAGTTTTATACATCTGGTTTACTTTTTAAGGCTCATACTATATTGTTAGTACAACCCGGTGTTAATCCCGAATCTCGCACTTATTCCGATTATGAATCAGTTAACGAGTGTATGGAGGGTGTTTGTAAGATTTATGAAGAACATTTAAAGAGGAGGAATCCCAACACCCCCACAATTACCTACGATATATCCCAATTGTTTGATTTTGTGGACCAGGTAGGTAGTTAATAATATTGCTCTGTTTTATTAGTTTTCTTGACGAAATCCTGATTTAATTAATTGTTTTCGACTTTTAGCTTTCAGATTTGAGTTGTCTCGTGTATCAGAAATCGACAAATACTTATGCTCCATATAACAAAGACTGGATAAAAGAGAAAATATACATATTGCTACGACAAGCAGCAGGCCATACAGATTAAGAAATTAGGATAAAGCATTATGATTTTTATAATATACATTAAGTGAATCTTTTTTATTTTCCTTCTATATTAACAAATAATTTGTAGTTTTGTTGTATTAGTATTATAAAATTGAAATAAAGTTTCTACTGTTTTAATATCTATGTAATGCTGGGAATTCTTTTTCTGATAATAGTTAGAAGGAGAGAAAGGCAGCACAACGATATTAATTTTGATAAGGTTTTAATTTTGCATT